CGCGGGCTATATCCATGGGAAATCATTACACTCACTGATTCGATTCTTAACCCATTGGAGGAGAAACTCGTCAGGTATGACCTCCTTGGAAACGTTATTGGCGACGATGAGGTCGACGACCGTACAATGGATGAACACGAATCCAAGCGTGAATTTTTCAACTCAATACGAAAGTTCATGCGCAATAAAGCATCTGAGCTTGCTGCTCTCCGTTCCCGGTTTAATCTACCACCTCTCGACGAAACCCCGGATAGCGATTACATGGATATTGACGACAGTTATTTTGCCGCAGCAGATGTTAATGCCGTCAATCGCATCCAGCGGATTTCAGAAAAACTTCTCCGTGAGTTTTTACGGCAATGTCTTACAAAATATGAGCGTGCGAAGGTGGAACCAGGTTCTGCAGTTGGTGCGGTTGGTGCTCAGTCTATTGGTGAACCGGGAACGCAAATGACATTAAAGACTTTCCATTTTGCTGGTGTCGCCAGTATGAACGTTACTTTGGGAGTTCCGCGTATTAAAGAAATTATCAATGCCAGTAAAAACATCAGTACACCCATTATCACTTGCAAGCTGGTTACCAAGGATGATGAGAGAAGCGCAAGGATAGTTAAGGGGAGAATTGAAAAGACGTATCTGGAGGATGTGAGTCTAGTTTCTCGAATTGTTTGGACGAGGGAGAATTTTCTGACTGTGAAATTGTAGATCATTTATTACGTCGAGGACGTCTGTTCACCGGATGACAACTATGTCTCCGTCCGGGTTGACTTCCACACCATTGATAAGCTTCAGCTTGAACTTACAGTCGATGACATCCTCAACGCACTTGTTAAGGCAAAGCTTAAAATCACCAAATCTGACATTAGGGTTGTTGGAAACCGTATTCGCATCTACGTCCGCGAAATGGCAGATAAAGATAAAAGAAAGACAACCGCTGAAACAGACGTCTTCCTTCGCGTACAGAGTCTAAAGCGTGCGCTGCCAAGTGTCGTCGTCAAGGGCTACCCTCAGGCGGCAAGAGCAGTTGTCAAGAAGAATGAAAAGTCGGGAGAGAATGATATTCTCGTTGAAGGCTATGGGTTGAAACTTTGTATGAATACTGAAGGTGTGGTCCCGACTGCAACAAAAAGTAATAGTATTATGGAGATGCGAGAAGTTCTTGGGATCGAAGCTGCCAGGTTTGCACCCATCAAGCCCTCTTTACTCTATTATCACAAACTAACAATCTATAGATCCTCTATTATCTATGAAATCTCCGAGACAATGAAAGCTCACGGAATGGACATCGATCCTCGTCACATGCAACTCCTTGGAGACGTGATGACTTATAAAGGCGAAGTTTTGGGAATCACACGTTTTGGTCTCGCCAAAATGCGAGACTCAGTTCTACAGCTCGCCTCATTTGAAAAGACAACCGATCACTTGTTCGATGCAGCATTTCACATGAAGACTGATGAAGTGGAGGGAGTGTCTGAGTGTATCATTCTCGGACAGAGTATGAGCATAGGTACTGGAGCTTTCAAAGTGGTGCGCAAGTTGATGATTCCGGAAAAGGCATTGGTTCCTAAGAGGGGGATGTTTGAGGCTGCCTATGAGAAAAATTATAAGGGACTTGCCGGAAAGAAACAAAAACCGCATTCAAAAGGGAGATGACTGGTTCAGTGATTGTATTTATAGGTGCGATGGAAAGGCATGACGATATCTTGTGGATCAAGCTTTGTATAGTTGGATTGTGTGGTTACCGTAATATGTACTGAACTTACTTTATGTTATTCAGCACCTCGATCTATGACTGAACATCTAGTTAGTCGGAGGGCAATGATCATAAGTGACTAATCGGGAGACGTCCGCAGACTAATCGTAGTTTTTTGAAAGCGTCAAACACAAGGAGCAATTTTAGGCAAACCCAGACTATCCAAAATTTTATCTGATCCGTTTTTACTGAGTTATAGCCTCACAATCGTAAACCTTATGACTTCAATGAACCTAGAGCTCCCACCCACCTTATTTCGCGCTAGAGATCGAGTGATAGGATGTGACGGTACTTTAAGCGCCAAGGCTTGGCATTCTGCAGGACTATTTATTTCGCGCAAAACTTTTTTCGAGTCTTTGACTCCCGTCCTATTCGCCCACATCCAATTGCAATCCTTCAGGTCAATAACGACTCTCGCCTCCAAGAGCCATCACAATGAGCCAGTCTCATCCTGTACCAGCAGTGACAGAGCGCAGTGCACACTAACCCCCCAAAATCCATCTACGCAGGCATCTCCAGCAATTAATAAATTACAGAAGGTTAGTCATACCTTCTTTTTCCTTCCTCAACACCTCACCACCTCTCTCCTCCCCCACCTCTGAATGATGACCACACCTCGTTATCCCAGCTCACTCAGACGTAACCCTCCGGGAAAGAATTGCCATCATTGTTTGATTTGATGGCACTCTGGGGGGAACGCATGCTGTGAACGCGAATCTATATCTGACTTTGGATTTTTTCCGTCCCTTGCCTCTTTTCCTTGCCATTTTTCTCCCGTCTGCTCTACGTTAGGAGTTTTTGGAACTTGGCTAACGTTGTTACTGCTGGGTTGAAAAAGTAGATTACTCTAGATCAATCAAGACATAAAGGCTCCCTGGACTGTCTCGAATTAATTGGCAGCGGGACATGACTCTTACTCAAGCTAGAGTCTAAAGAATTAAGGAAAGACCAAGCATACCCAAATACTCAGTCTCGACTTCGTGATTGAGTGTTGGTGGGATCATAGCACTCGTGCTCCTGAACGCACATTTGATATAGAAGCACGAGTAATAGGAATTAATATTGAATAATTATAATGTACTCTACATAGACAAATCTAAAGTTACATCCGTGCTTGTTAACGCTGCGAATTTTGCCAATCAATGTGACCTAAGTACAGTACACTCTCGCTATAAGGATACGGTCGGGACCAAAAATATATATCCTTATAGCGAATTATCCTTATAGAAAGTGGGAGGATGCTAGCATAACGGCGCTTGCGGACCGGCCACTGGTATCCTTATAGCGAATGCAGTCGACGCTCCCTATAAGGGTACGGAAATACCGCGAGGTCGTACCCTTATCTCTAAACTATATAGTCTTCCTCATCGTCACCAGGAACGTTTTCTATTGGTTGCGTACTACTTCTAATATTGGTTGCATATCATTAGACAAAGAACTACTCCCGACATGGAAGGGAACTGGCATTAAAAGGCGTATAGCTATTGTAATTGATGGGTATAAAGGAACAAACACTGACAGAACTATAGCCATATTTTTATATATCAAGGCCGAATTTCCCTGATAGCATATATATTTTATCATGAACTACATGTACATATTAAGGCTACTCATTGAATGACTTAGAGTGCATACTAGAGCTAATAAATCACAGATTACCTATAAGGAGGGATGGAGATGAGGTTTAGTGCGTGCCTGTACGTTTGGATGACCCAATAATCCAGAATGACAGCAATAATCTAAGGAATTACTATCGCAGTACCGCCCGCACCTTCATTTCCTCACTACATTTGGGCGGCCGGAGGCCGCACTCCGCTTGTAGACTTATAGAGCAGTTACCCTTATAGATATTTCAAGGTTAGGTATGGCAGTAGAAAGTTCACTTTTGGGGGGTGAAGGGTTCGCGCAACACTGAATTTGGTAGAGTGGGAAGCTCGCGGAACTTCACTTTTGGCGGCTAAACCATCACTCTTTGGTGACGGAACTTTTAGTTTTTGGTAGTACAACTTTCAATCTTGTTAGCAGAACATTTTTCACTTTTTGAGGGCGAAGGCCAACTTCCACTCAAAAGTCACTCTCTCTATAAGGGTAACACATCAAAAAATTAGAAAAAGTACTAAGGGTATTTTTATAGCGAAAATGAGTATTTACCCTTAACACTACATACTAAAAAAAGTAGCCTGCGGACCGGGCTCCGGCCTTATCCCATCGACTGTAAAAACCGTTTTGTGGTTCAACCGTGTACCGAATTATTTATCATGTTTCCGCAACTGGCAACCACACATGAAAAGAAAAATATCATTATGAGATATAATATCAAACTCGCCCTGTATTATTTGGATTCAATCTTTGTTTTTAAGATTTCGTGCTCCTCGTTGCGTTGCCAAAGATTTGGTGCCTGGTTGGCCCGAATGCGCTTACAGTCGATGGGATAGGGCGAGTATCCTTATAGAGGGTACCCTTATAGGGAGAGGAGAGTCGACTGTATATCCTTATATCATGATCAAATATATATCCTTATAGCGAGATCGAGAGTCTATGTATAAAGCAATGTTCTTTCGCAAATTACCTGGCTACCTCATAAAAGGAGCAAATAGGAGCGTTACCCACGTTAATTTAATTAATCTAAGAAGAGAAATTCGAAGTGCCTAGAAGAATACCTGTTGAGTCTATTCAACTACGATAAAAGGCAAGAAACACATTGGCACCTAGGGTTAAGAGATGGCCGAGGGATCTGATAGGTACTTAACCCTAGACTTTTGGGGGCCGGTTCACATGGACCTCTGATTCTTATCTTACCGCCTAACACTTCCTACGTATTTGCTTGGCTTTTGTGCGGTTGAGCTAGTGCGGGAATCCTACCAGTCTCTCCCATACTGGTCTGATTAAGTTAATAATGTTAGAAATAGGTTCCAAAAGTAGTTCAATTTGGAACTAAGAGATATTAGGGGTCTATGGAAAATTCGGCGTGAGCGTGGCAACAGCTTGCCCATGCCCGCTTTTGCCAGACTCATGTGCATGCTATTCTTTGAACAATTTTATTTCCTAACTTTCACAAGCCCATAAATGAGGATGATGTGAAGATGCTGTTGATGGGATTGGTTGGTGGTTGATATATTTGGGGATAATTCGGTGGAGAGGAGAAACCTCACTATAAAATTCAATATCATGATCTGCATATATCTTTCTGGCAGGATATCTCAACCTGCATATATCCTTATAGCAGGATATCATAAATAATATTGAGCTAGACCATCTTGAGCACCTCTGCAGGTAAATATCCTGATGTTTCGACATGTGAACTCCTTCCGTATAGGAACGTGAATGGCACAGACATTGGTGGCTCAATCTCATGATAGACTTCTTCGAATTCTATATCTCGATCGATGAACCGCACCGGTTTCTGGGCGCCATAACTAAGCCAATGAACGAAGTCGGCGCCTGGCGCACACTTGGGCCCTGGCGGCATTTCGAAGTCTGGGAGGAACCGCAAAATATCGTATTCTTGAACAATGTACTGTCCTCTAGGAAAAACCCGAATTTCTTGCAGGATGTATGCCCTAAGCCATGATTTGAATTTTGGAGTTTCATACGAGACGAACGCTTTCGTGGCTAACTTCGTCAGAGACTCGTCTATTGACTCTTCTCCCTTTGCATGTCGAAACCAATTCTCAGCTGCGTAGCAGTAGAATGGGTAGTGCTCAAAACGATTCCTAATCTCGGCTTTCGCAACCGGAATATCAAAGTCTTGAAAACCAAGATATGTGAGACAAATTTTAGATATCTCAATATTCACTTCCGCTTCCGCGATAAAAAAATGGCTAGCTCGTCCTTGACGTGTACGTTCAGACGTAAGATATTGCTGGACAGAGTAGTGGGAAAGTCCGATGTGCCGACCGGTAAGACTCAATATGCCCCCACATATCGTGAGCAAGCTATTGGGATCGTTTAATCTCGCGTCCTCGTCTAGAGATTCTATTCCTTCTACGATAACCGCAGCTTCGGCTACTTCTTCTATAGTCATCGGGCGAACAGCAAAGATGATTAGTTTCAGGACTCGGCGCATTAACTGTATATCATCTTCGCTTTTAATGCCGAGTAAAATGCGCTCGTATGTCTCATCGAGGTCTTGGGGAAGAGACTTCAAAGCCTCTAGAATAATCTTCGGTCTTCTAAGTTCCCGAATTATGTCAAGTTGGTGTTTAGCTAAACGAAACCTATGCCATAATTAGAGCAGATCTTAGTTAAAACTCTTTTAACAAGAATAATTCCAAACTTACATTCCTTTTGCCTGCTGGGAAAGAGTAGAAATGATATGATCCCTTAGATCTGGTTTAAGATTTCTCAATTTATGATCTTCCTCGATGCTCTTCGTAACAAAAAACTTGACATCCCCAGCAACGTCATCACTTCCGATGCAAACAGTGGGAACTGAGTGTCTTAAGAACATCTCCTCTATTTCGTACTCCTTGCGGCTTGTGAACAAGAGACTACAAGGGCACAGGGGATTTTTGTATCTAATCATGTCGTCTAGAGTCGATAATAGGGTAGATCTTCCAAGGCATTCGTCCAACGCATCCAAAATGACAAAAAGCCTCTTGAAATACCTCGATACTATAATCGTGAAGAGAGACCATAACTTGTCTATATCACTGCGAGATGATTCGTTTTCTATTCTATGCCTATCCGGTTGATGTATTTTATAAAATGATTCGACCTCTTGTGGAATTTCGGGGAGTTTCTCCAATAGCTGGTAGATTAATGAGCCGAGCATTCCGATGGTGGTTTGTTTTTCTGAATCTTTGAAATCAAAGTAGAAATAAATGACTGCCGTATCTAGGGAGCAAGCGTGACGTGAAATGGTATGTTCGATTACAGCAGATCTATTGCGTGGCGTTAGCAATCTAGGAAGCCGAGATGGTATAAAGCGAGAGATTAATTTGTTATAGTAGCCATAGATATATATAACTTACGTTAATATTGTTTTCCCTGATCCAACTATAAAGGGGGATATGATATTATATCAGTATTGATTCCAATTCCTTGAGCTTCTGTGGTTATGAACTTACGAATTCCATGTAACCATAGGAATGATCCTGGTGTATCTTGCCATCTTTTAAGATCCTCTCCGTCGATAAACCATTTACCTGTTCCAGGTCGGTGAAGCTCACAAGCGGTGTGATGGTTGGAAGCCGGATTGACTTTTGATAAAAAGCGTAGAATTTCTTCTCGTTTTTTGCCTTTGCCCCAATTCTAGTTAGAAGTCATACCCATAGAAACTGTGACATACTACACATCTAATACCTTTTGTAACGATTCCATTGTCTAACTCTAGCTGCTTTAACCCACTCAAGAGTTTCTCAACTGCGCGGTTAATGTCTTTGAGACGGCTGTCAGTGATCTGTTGTTTTTCGTTTAATTCCTTATGTATAATCCTAATGTATGTTTCCACCTCATTTGAAAGTGTCCTAGAACATATATCCTTATTAGTATTTCACAGGAACCCGGTAAAATTAGAAAAGAAAAGAAAAACCCCACATTTGATCCGCATATAGCGCTAGCTGAAGCACCGACTTCAGCCTCTCAAGTCGCGCGAGGCATTGTTGGATATTCCTAGCCCTTAAAGGGCCTAGGAAACATCTACTAAGACGGCCATTAAGACTTTCGATTATCTCTCTCACGAGATTCACGATGTCTTTACAAGACTCAAGGGGCCCTTCAGGTTTATCGAGAAGTTCTAACGCCAGTAACTGGGGGTAGTTATTTGTTGCTTGGAAGCTGTCGAACTGTGTTTTTAGAGCTGACAATATACCGTTTAAGGTTACTAGCTCTTGGAGGAGCTGTCGAAACTCCTTGGGCGCACTTTTTACATCCCCCATATAGATGCTGCCTTGGGTTATAACCGTCCCGGTTAGTTGAATGATGCCCAAAATGCTCGACGCGAGCCCCACCGCAGCTATGATTTCTGCCATGACGTTATCGAACTCTGAAGCACGTATGAGGTTGGCGAAAAGTGGAGAAATGATAGATATGGATTACTCATGGTATCCCTGTATGAGGTGGCAATATTGAGCCTCGTCACAGCCTCCAAAAACAAATTCCTTGCCTTGACACCCAGCTGCATACACATTACATTATTCCATTATTCTAGGCCAGACCTAAACTGCGAGTAATATGATGTATATAACTGCTTCCTGATTTATGGCCGTTAATGCTCGCAGCTTGGCACAACATTAATTACATACATGTGTGTAACTGTCAGCTCATTTTCTACCAATCAGAAGAAGGCTGGGTATGACACCAAACCAGTAACTTATACTGCGCCCATGTAAACAAAGAGCTTCCAACTAACCAGCCAAATAACCAAGTAGAAATTCGGGAATTCTTCCAATAGACCCTATGGCTGTTGGGTTCGTTACTGAATCTGATTTGTGGATATGAAGCAATATAGAGAGATATATGCGTACGTAGACTGATGCTTTATTCTCGGCGTACTGATAGATGAAATTAACCTCGACCGAAAAAAGTACGGAATGCCAAGTACAGTAGCTAGATATTATATGTGATAACCTACTTATGATACGTATGTATACCTCCATGTCAAAAATCCTGGGACAAGCCCCCGTAGCAACTCGCGGTTGCGTTGTCCCGGGACTTTTGAACAAGAACTATACATGTATCCCTTCGGTCTCATGCTAACTGTTATCAGTTTTTGTAGCGCCAGGACAGGCGCACCCCCAGGAATGAGGCCATTGCATCCCTCCCCTCCGTAATATTATTACGTGTACGCAGTAGTGCGGGATTCTTGCTATTCACTAACCTAAAATCGGGTGAGTGATATTTCATGATGCTGCGCCTCCCAACTTTTACTTCGATATGAAGCGGTAACACAGCTAGCAGTGATCACCACCATGAATTGATCGCAGTCTCGAATCCACTTGCCTAAATCAAAAATCAATTCCCAACCTTACATAGTTTACAAAACTTTCACCCACACATCTGCACCAAACTACAACGCAGCCTTCCTAAACTTCAACGTCCCCCACTCACAACTATCCGCATCCGCATTAACAGGATTCAACTTCTCCCTGACCACCTTCTGTATAACCTGCTTCGTATACGGCGCCGCCAAACCCTTATCTACCGCAAAATGCGCATACAGAATCTCATACGTCGGCCTCCACACGCCTCTATCAATCGTGCTAATCGCAGACCAGCTCGCCCCACACGCCGACACCGCCGCATCATACGGCATGCCGTCGTTGCCCAGGTTGTACTTAGCCGTGTACTCGTACCCCAGCAGGAGACGGTTCGACAGCTTCCCCCAGAGGTCCTCGCCCTGGTTTGCCGAGATCTGCGACATCTCCGCCATGTTCCCGAGCGAGAGCTGGGTGTGGCCCTGGTCGCGCCCAGACTCGCAGTATTGCCCGGTGCTGGCAATCATGAAGGAGAGCTTCCCGCAGGCGTCGGAGTCGTAGAGCGTGAGGGCTTCGTTGTAGAGGGCTTCGTTGTTGAGGAAGACGCCGAAGGCCATGAACGCCTTCATGGATAGGGTACCCCAGCCGCCGGAGCTGTAATCCCGGGTACCTGGTCAGTAATCGAAAGCTCGGGCCAAGCTGGAAAGAGTTGTCGGGGAGGAGCTTGCTATGGATATGCTGAAGTAGACTTTGCATGCGCAGCAGGCGCGAAGATGTTCTGAATCATATTCGAGAACTTCGTGATATCTGCCGCCGCCCAGCCAGTCCAATCATAACGCAAGATCTCGGCCGCATTGACCAGATGTGTACCCGTGATACTAGAACCCAATTGGATGTCGCTCCCGTTCATGATGGTCAACGTGTTTGACCAGGCATTGAGGATGTCGCGGGACTTGGTCGCATATGCCGCATCGCGGGTGATGGAGTAACGCAGGGCCAGATCGTATGCCGCACGGCAGTCCGAGATGAGCTCATAGAGGCCAACGAAGCCGATGGTGTTGTCACGGGTCACGAAGCTCTTCGGGCCGTTGATGGTGTATGTGGACTGGGAGCGGGAGTTGGCGGCGAACTCGGTGTAGGCGGTGTACCAGGGCTCTTCTTTGGCATTGACTTTGGTGCGGATGCGTAGGAGATCTGCGGAGGAGTGGAAGATCCTATAGGAGGGGTGGTTAGTTCATTTATGCATTTTAGTGGGTGTTGGGGAAGTGATACGAACCCGGGGTGGGTAAAGGTTCGACGCTTTTGATGCTGGACTGTGGCGCTGGAGGCAAGGACACTGAGGCCCAAGAGCAGAACTGCTATGCTGAGAAACGGGTTTTTGAAAAACATTGTGGAGGCCCGGTTATCTGTAAGAGTGCTATCGAATGTGAGAGAAAAGATATTTGAGGTTTTGCCTCGTTATATATCTATCAAGTGGTACCTAAAACTCACGATGATAATACAACCAAAACGAATATACTCAAAGCATTTCGAGCGGTAAGTCCCCGGAGATTAAGCCGTAGTGTTCGGTTACCACTTGGATAAAAATATTAAGATTTTTATATATCTAAGCATCTCAAGTGTATGGTACTACTAATCGTAAAAGTGGAGAAGGGGTCTTATAGGTTTCATCGGAATCCTAGCAGTTCAACTGATATAGTGGTATGCTTCTGGGGAAGCGAACCCGCTATCCTAGTTCATGCAACCGAGGTCAATGTATGTGCTTTTTTACAAAAGGGGTGGACGTTGTACCTGAATATTACTTATGTTCAGGTGTTACGGTAGACTGTATTTAGTAAACTTATGTGCCAGAGCTCTAAGCTTATATATCTGCCAAATAATCCGATCTATTCTTTAGAGCACTATTTTATATCATAATATCGACTTCTCTAGAAATATGATGTTGATATTAATGTGTTAATTGTTAGGCCGGGCAGGCAGTAAAGTAGTACACAACGATCAAATAATTATAAGGCAGAGACCCTGAGAACGGAAGCACCCGTTGAGGGCTCGGTAGCCACAACCGAAATATAAGGCTGATCGGTCCCTAATTGTTAGATTTAGAAGCCCTGTCAAGTATTCCTGCAATAATGTGGGGTGTTCCGGTACGTCGGCTTTGTCTGCGTAAAATAGGTAGGACATAAGTAATCCTGTATTTCATTCCCCTGTCATTTCGGGTTCCTCCATCCCCAGTATCCACAAACAACATCAGCTTCCAGAAACCTACGATACTTGGAATTCGGTTCAGACTCCCCCGACGCGCTATCGTCCGAGGATTCCCCCGTTGCTTCATGCACCCCGCACAGATCGGTTCTCGGACCGGCGGTCCCGGTGGAGTGGTTAAGCTTTGTGCCTAGGGCCAGGTACAAACTCTCACATGGCGGAATTGATTAGCCCAGAAATCCGATTTGCTTTTGATCAACTCTAATTTAATGTTCTATGCTATGCTGGTAATGAACCAATAAGTCAATCAATGTCCTATGTTGGAGGTGTGTGCCGAGTGATAGTATATGAACCATGGTCTCTTGCAATTTAAGTTGAGAAGATCACTACGTGATAGCGGATCAAAATAACCTTGCTGTTTATGTATCAAACTTAAGATTTCAATAGTTAATAGTTGGTTCTAGATCTCAGTAATAGTACAGATTATAGATATGGCCTTCGTATGGACAAACTTACTGTATGCACTACTAACCAGCAGAGATTTTGGCACAACAGTGACACGTCCTATCCATGAAGTCAAAACGCATCGAATACCGCTAGTATTAACAACCTCGTCGTGAGTACAGTCCTAGATCGTAGTCTATTACCACGTGGGGGGCGAGCTAGTGGGGCACTCCACGTGACACGAGCGATACGCGATAACAAAACCCACCAAGCAAGCCTCACAAACTACCAGCGTATTACCTACATGTACCCACCATGTTTCTCGCCCGCCAACTACCCGTACGCCGTAGCCTCGCAACACCTGCCACAATCGCATTCCCCTTCCTCGGCCGCCGCTTCGTTGGCAGCTCGGTGTCGGCGGAAGACGAAGAGCAGATTGCGCAGGCACGGAAATGGCTGACCTCATTCACACCAGAGAATATCCCAAGAAAGTACTGCGTAGTCACGTTTTCGCGCGCGTCGGGGCCCGGTATGTAATTTAGGATTAGAAACCTAGCTATATATTGGTAGTGCTGAATTGGTGCTGATTCAAAGCGGGTGTGTGAAAGGGGGGCAGAATGTCAACAAGTATTACTACTTACTTTGCGATATCCAATGAGCGAATCCAAGAAGGGACGCTCTAGAATATAGAAGTCGTTAACGAGCACTGTGACTTAGGGTAAACACTAAAGCGACGCTCCGCCTCGACCTGGAATTACATGGCTACTTCATCAACCCCTACATCCTCCAGAAAGTCCGAGAGAACGTATGCAGCCACACTCGCCCCTCTGCTTTCGTTACCTTGGCACACAGTAACAGCCGCCTATGTAGTCAAGCTACGTGACCAAGCACGATGAGATTGTCATTCAATGTGACACCCACCGGAACCAAACCAAGAACACGGAGGAGTGTTTCCAAAGGCTCCATGCCGCAATTGCGAATGCTGCGCAGCTGCGGGGGGAGACTACTGAGGAAACGATGAAGAACGTGGAGAGGATGTAAGTGGTTTCTCTTAAGCACTGGGAAAGTAAGTAAGCTTACGGGTTTCGTGGGCTGTAGTGAAAAGAAGAATAAGGAAAAGAGGTTGCAGGCGAAGAAGATGCACAGTAGTAAGAAGAGCGCTAGAAAGGGTTCGCGGGATGATTGATTGGTGAAATCTTTAATTTATCTTTTTATCTTCCAGAACTCTGAGTGCATAGCGTGCTGTGCCATGAATTTTGAGGGGTGAACATAATACAGGTTTTAGGAGCACCCGAAAATTCGGGTTATATATGCAAACTAAAATGTTGACAGGCAGTCACTTAGTTTCTCGATGCAATGCAGCCAAACATATGAAATTAGGACTTAGTATTGTGAGAGTTTAATCCCACCATACTTGTGATATATATATGGACCCAGGAAACCAAGTCTTAAATATAGCAGGAAGACACATTGACTGTGAAAGAGCTCGAGTTTAAATCCACCTATATATATTGCTAGTAGCATGTAGTAATATAGCATTCAAGTGATTGCATCATAGATCCAGATCGCAGGTATGAATTAAAACCTTCTACAGTGTGTTTAGGAATATATGTATGCAATTCAACCAATTATACCAGCTCAAGCGCTGTTTATCATGTGCTATCACTCGACACATTTCATATCGACGTTGGAATAGAAACTAAATCCATAACCCGTAACATCTTTGGCCGCAATATTACGCAACCAATGAAGATTACTACGAAGACAAGTTGATTTTAAGGATTCAAGAAACTACATTGTTGATTTCCTGGACCTATCTGTACAGTATAGTAGTAAAATATCCCCCCAATCCTAGAGTTGGAGGTGCCCGAACCAAATGAATTCCCACCGCTCTATTTGTTCTTCGACATCTTATACTGGAATGGTTTCCGCGTCCTACGTCTGTTAGCAAAACCACACAGTCCCACCCACCACCAGCAGAAAACTTACTGCGAAAACTCTCCCAGCTTATGTCCCACCATATCCTCGGTGATCGTGAACTCATTGTACGTCTTCCCATTGTGCACTTGAAACCTATGACCTACAAAATGCGGCACAATCGTACAACTTCTCGCTTGGGTCTGGATCGCCGGCATACGCTCGTTCGGTTTTGGCGCCGTCATAGGGACCGGTAATCTATCAACCTCCCAATCGCAATTAGCAGCCGGTGGAGCAAAGTAGTGATCGGGCGGGGGTGTAGCTACTGAACGACGAATGGACCTATTCACAACCATTAGCAAGCACTTCACGTGAAAGAAGGGTGTCGAACTTACCCTTCCAGACTGAGCGCTTGAAGAGAGCTCGTGTTGGAAACATTGTGGCGTTGTGATTTGGTCTACGGAGGTGAGTTTAAGGTTTTTAGTCCCCGGCTTATCGCCAGAAAGTATTTCTGGAATTGCCAAGATCCCGGGTTAGGGAAATATCCAGGGTTAGGGTTATAGTAGTAGGTTAATAATTACCACAATCTCAGATTCCTTAGAAGAAAGTACGGAGACTAACACACTATTAGGTTGATGAATCAAAGAAAGACCTGATAGTCGTTTGCCATAGTTTGTCACTCGACCTTTTGAATGCGGGTGTCGAGACTTATATCTTATACTAGCAAACTACATGCATGTAGCTATACTCGGGCGTTCATTAAATGGTCGGATATCGTTGCAACCAAATCCCTACTAAGAATTCCGACCATTTAATAAACGCATGAGTAGTAGTACCTACATATTCATTTGATCCCGTGAAAATACCTATCTTTCCGGCCATTGGTAAAAAATCTTATCTGTTCTGGCCTCTAAGATTGCGGTTGTGTTATGGCTTTAGCCTGCATTCAAAATTAAAAACGGACCGGGTAACCGTTATCTATCTAAGGCGGGGCATTACTTTGTTTACGCTCGTGGTCTTGGCAGCCCCTCCATGACAGTCAAAATATTACTCACAACGCCCGCATCTCATCTCCTATATAAACATCATCCACTCGCCTCCCCTCTACGATAGCAATTTTTCTACAAAGTGCTACAATCATTCACAAAAAATGACTGAAGAGGCAAAGAAATTAGTTAACGCTGCGGCGGAACTCACGGTCTCGGAGAGCACCGCTTCTAGTCAGTGATCCCTCATGACTCATTTTTCAATTTTGAAAAACAAGGCCCTTTTCTCTCTTTAATATTCTTAAAACTTGTCACTAATATTAGATTTCTATAGTTTATGTTGATGAGGATACCGGTGTCGATTCTGCCGACACCCTCGGTACTCCAGACAAACCATTCAAATCCCTTATTGGTGCTCTAACACACACCTATAAGTCCCACCCAGACGCCAAATTTCAAGTCCGCAAGTCAGAGTCAGGACCTGATGACGAAACACGCAAAGAGTACAAGCCTGCTGCTAAGGCTGCGATGAAAAAGGTCGCCAACATGCACGCTGCCAACTTGAAAAAAGCTGCCAAGCAAGCTGAGATCAACGCAAAGGAGGCCGAGGCCAGGGCTTCAAAGGAGGCGGCATTAGAAGAAGCAAAGAAGATTGTTTTGACCGAGGATTCATCTCTACCTGCCGCAGTCAACATCAAAATCAGGGGCAGTGTTGCAAGCCGGGGCAAAAGAATCAAGCTTTCGGGGTGGGTCCACAGATTGAGACATCAAAGCAAGCTCATTTTCATCACCTTGCGTGATGGAACTGGGTATCTTCAATGCATTTTGGCCGATGACCTAACAAAGACATATGATGCGTTGACCTTGACTGTTGAATCAACAATCACTATCTATGGCGTTATATCCCCTGTCCCTGAAGGCTCGCATGCACCTGATGGCCACGAGCTGCACGCGGACTACTTCAAGGTCGTTGGAAAGGCTCCAGGTGGTGACGAGACCATCACCAATATTGTCGCCAAGGACGCAGACCCTCAGACCAAGTATGACAACAGACATTTGGTCATTCGTGGAGAACAGGCTAGTGCGGTATTGAAAGTTCGAGCAGGTGTTTTGAGGGCATTCCGAAAGACCTACGAGGACCTTGGAATGCTTGAGGTGACCCCTCCTTGCATGGTACAAACACAGGTCGAAGGAGGAAGCACTCTTTTTGAATTCAACTACTACGGCGAAAAGGCATATCTGACCCAGTCTTCGCAACTGTACCTTGAGACTTGTCTGCCCTCACTCGGGGATGTCTTCTGTATCCAGGAGTCCTTCCGGGCTGAAAAGTCATTGACTCGTCGTCATTTATCCGAATACACCCACATCGAGGCTGAGCTTGGCTTCATTAGCTTTGACGATCTTCTTAGCAACCTTGAGGAGACAATCTGCCGCACCATCGACTATGCCTTGGCGGATCCACTCATTTCTGAACTTATCAAGGAGCTCAACCCCAACTTCAAGGCTCCCGCTCGCCCATTCTTGCGCATGACCTACGCAGATGCCATTGAATGGTTGAAGAAACACGATATCCCCAACGAAGAGGGTAAACCCCATGAGTTTGGTGATGACATTGCTGAGGCTGCGGAGAGGAAGATGACGGACGAAATTAATCTACCAATCTTCTTGACAAAGTTCCCTGTTGAAATCAAGGCTTTCTACATGAAGAAGGACCCTGAAGACCCTAGGGTTACCGAGAGTGTCGACTGTCTCATGCCCGGAGTTGGTGAGATTGTTGGAGGAAGTATGAGGATGGATGGAATGGAAGAGTTGCTAGCGGGATATGCCAGAGAGGGCATTTCACCCGACCCATACTACTGGTTTACCGATCAGAGAAAGTAAGTTTTTATTGGTAGTGTCATTACCTTGCCGTAGAACTGACTCAAAACGCTAGATACGGAACGACTCCTCATGGTGGATACGGGCTTGGCCTTGAGAGATTCCTCGCCTGGATGTGTGACCGTTACACTGTTCGTGACTGCTCATTATATCCTCGATGGACCGGTCGTTGCACCCCATGAGCAATAACTTGTCACTAGAGGAGTTAGGCTTTTAGATTTCCCTTTGTATCTGTTGTCTAGCATCATTTCCCACTTTTCACATAATCTCTCGATAAACTGTAGGCGCGGTCGGTGGCCAGCGATATTTTCCTTTCCCCTGTACTTTCGTGTCCATTCCCTAGAGTGTGATCCTCAGACCTAAATCCCGTGATTTCAATCAATATGGATTTCAAGTAGAGTTCTTTACCCAGGATTTCGCTTCTAGATGAACATGACCCCCAGGATGTTGAAATTATTGGGTGTGAGCCTGGGAGCAATGTCCTACTTGTCATGGGATGGTCATATTTGTCAGAGGCCGCGGCATATATGTTAACAAGCAGTCATGTTTTGAGTCTCCTTGGTATAAATATTTGTGTATAAAAGGATCATTAAATGTCCTCTATTGTGGTCAGGCAAGTCGAGTGACAAACTATGACCAACAACCAGGAGAAATACGGTAGTTTGGATTAGGCTACTTCAACCCATACAACCACAAGTGAAAAATAAAGGCCCTAGATATCTCAGCCCTAAGTGTACCCAAAACTAGCCTGCACCTAGAACTAGCCCGCACCATTATGTACAATGTGTAAAACCAATCTTTTAGTGGTATTTAGATGATGGAGGTGGCATTGTGGCAGCGGGGTTTTAGCAGTCATGAAGAATGAGGTCACTAGCAGAGAGCTCAAGGAAATATACAATATCTTGGTATGTCATTTAGATTCGCAATCCGAATCCAGACAACATCCCAATATCATGACGTGACATTCAGCCGAATATCGTAAATGATATTCGACCCTTTATATTTATCGCGATATTAGACTCTTTTTGCCAACGACCGTGAGAGTCGTTAACACTAAATTAAAAATACCTAAGACTCCGGTGCATGCAGGATGCGTATCATATACATATCACTTTTTGAATGCCGTGCTTAAGAATACGCCATCAAATACTTAGAATACCAATCCTTAGAATTATTCTTAACGAGTATTCCTCATACCATGCAAGCCAAGGTCCCCTAATGCATGCAGGGCGGTCTTGGGTATTTTAATTTAGTGTTAACACCTCTCACGGTTTGGAGTTCAGTAGATTTTGTCTTGTCCTACGTGATTCTCGGAAGACAAAAGCTCGGGCTCTGAAGACAGAAAACAAAGATCAATTAGACTATGATGATAGGATGATGATCAAGAACAAGAGAAGAGTCGAGACATGAGGAAACCAAGGTTAGCTACACCGGACATAGTTTCTTGTCGTGACCGGTCCTGACCTGCATTCCATCTCGTTGTCTAGCTGCCTCGTCGTTGGCAAAAGGACTACTGAAAATTTTCGCTATATTATATCTTGTGGTAGTGTTCTAGTAACCACTTTCAGTGCCATTTCACAACTGTTAAATTATAAAAAAATTGGATCAGATCCAAATTTTTGAACTGCGATAACGATATCTCCATTGCAACCATTGTACCCGATGCAAAAAGTGTCCCATCACCCTGACCTCTTGGTTTGCCGAACATGACACAATATTCTGGAAATCACTGGATTTCAATTATCCCTTCGTCTGGCAATGCTGCCCACCCTATAACACATGAATTATATTTGTATGTGAGATCTATTATTTGATAAGAGAGATAATGGGATCTGTTAGTAAAGCCACATATAAAATTTGCTTTTTTGGGGGTGGGCAGCATTTTTTGCCAGACGAAGGGCAATATTTATATCACAGTTTTGCAGAGCGTAGTATTACACACAGTGTCGAAGGACAACTTAAGGACTGCTTTGTAGCGAAACAGGAACTCAGTAAGATTTGATACTACGTAGAAGTCTCGGATTCAAGAATAGTGACTGATGAGAAAGAAAGGATCTATGTAAGAAATACGGAATAAATACTAGATAATTATGACCGCTGTGTCCGCCGTGATCTGTCACCTCAACTTTTATGGTGGCCGGGTGCTCCGAAAGATCTCTATATAATGCACCCCATGCCCGCCGAACCTGCAGAACACAACAGTAAGATCTGTATTTGTAGCTAGTCTCGTCCCCAGACTTTTGTCAACTCGTTCCTCGTTCTGCAGACTACAAGCATCACACCCCAGGCTGATCCCTTTGTCTGTTCCCGGTCTCCAATCTTCTTGACAGTCACGTGGTTTTCTGCGAAGCAAAAGTCTTGGTTCTGGGTGACCCGATACAGTCGCCTCTCAATATAAGGGTATATTGAATATATTCTTATAAGGCGAGTATCACGATAAGAAGTAAGGCGGTACGGGTAAAAAGTGTTTCGGGCCTCCGATTGCTATCCTTATGGACCTTAAAGGTACTGCACACACGCCAAGACGACGTCCCTGTCATACTGTTGCTTACATAAGTCAATTCCCCACAGTGG